AAAGTTAGAACATTTAATAAGTTGACTTAGTAAGACTGAAGGATACAATCTAATATACAAAATACACAAATATAAAAATATCAATTGTGATGGTTGTACCTATCTATGAAAATACTAAAAACCACTGTATACTTCAAATGGGTAAACTACTTGTGAATTAGAACTCAATAAGACTATTAAAAATGAGTTGTATTTATATATGCTAGCAACAAACAATTTAAAATTCAAATAAAAATACCATTTACGATAGCACCAAATATATGAAAACTTGGAGACAAATCTGATAAAAAATTGAAGAGGTCTGTGCACTGAAAATGACAACATTCTGCTGAGAAAAGTAAATTTTAAGTAAATGGAGATGTATACCTTGTTCGTGTGCCACAAGACAGCATTGATAAAATGTCAATTCTCTCCAAACTGATATATAATTATGATGTAATCACAATCAAAATCTCCCTACACTTTTTTTGGTAGAAATTAACAAAATGAATCTAAAATTTATATGGTAATGCAAAGCATCTGTGGTAACAAAACAACTCATGAGAAGAATTATAAAGTTAGATAATACTTCATGATTTCAAGAGTTCTAAAGCTAGCCATGTGTGGTGACACGTGCCTGTAATCCCAGTGATTTGGGAAGCAGAGGCAGGAAGATCACTAGTTCAAGGCCAACCTGGGCAATTTATCAAGACCCTATCTCAAAATACTACTGAGTGGAGCTCAGTAGTAGAGGGCCTCTGGGTTCAATTCCCAGTAAAAGCTATAGTAATCAAAACAACATGATAGAAAAATAGATCAAAGGAACAATAAAGTCTGAAAGCAAACTTTTCAAAAGCACTGAGCTAATGCATTGAAGAATGAAAGCGTTTTCAACAAAATGTGCTAGAGCAGGGGCTGGGGTTGTGGCTCAGAGGCAGAGCACTCGCCTACCATACCGGGTTCGATCCTCAGCACTATATAAAAATAAAGACATTGTGTCCAGCTATAACTGAAAAGTAAATATTTTAAAAAAACAAATGTGCTAGAGCAAATACACATCCATGTGCAATAAACAAACCAAAACTTGAATCTATGCCTCATACTATATAAAAAACAATTCAGAATGGATCATAGATCTTAACATAAAACCTAAAACTGTAAAACTTGTAGAAGAAATAGGAAAAAGTCTTTGGGATCTTAGGTTAGGCAAAGAATTAGACATGACACGAAAAGTACCATCTATAGAATACCAAACTGATACACTGAACTTTACCAAAATTAAAAACTGTTTTGTTCTTTTGCTGAGCATGGTGGCACATGCTTGGAATCCCAGCTACTCGGGAAGCTGAGGCAGGAGGACTGCAAGTTTGCGCCTAATTTAGACCCTGTCTCAAAATTTAAAAAGGGCTAGAGATAGAGCTCAGTGGTGGAGAACTTGCTTAGCATGTGCATGAGGCCCTGGGTTTGATCCTCAACACTGAAGAAAAAAAAAATAGTACATTTCCTATCTCTACTCTTCTTCCTGCGTCCACTGGCCTCTTTGGAAGGCACTCAGTTTAGATGACTCCTGAGGTGACCATCCTTGGCAATGACCTCTAAGCTATCTGCAGGAGAAGCAGGCTTGTGCAGGGATTAACAGACTAAAACCAGGTTACCTGGACTCATGTGTTGGCTCCTCCAGTTGCTAGTTCTGTGAACTTGCACAAGTCATTTAACTTATTCTTGCCTCAGCAAACTCACCCGCCTCCCACCCCCACCCAAACTAAACAAAACAGAAATGGTAATTGAAAGGAAATTGACCACAACACTCAGAGAGACCAAGAGATTTTTATTGCAGCAGTGCAACAGAGGAGAAAAGAGAGAAAGAGGAGAGAGAGAGAGCAAGAGAGAGAGGGGCCCGGAAGGAGGGAGTTTTTATAGCCCAAATCTAATGAGGTCTCTGGGTCTGCAAGCTCCCTTGTTGGTACAAGGTGGGGTTAAGTGTTCAGCCTTGAGCAGGGGGTTGAGTGTTCAGCCTTGAGTGGGGGCTTGGGCGTTTGGGCTTGAAGCAAACAGGTGATAAAGAACCAGACAGAGGGTTTGAGTGGTTAGGTCATCCTCCAGCTAACTTTGTTTGGCATGCCCTGCAGACAACTTATTCAGCCTGTCCTGCACCTAACAGTAATAGCACCTACTTCCTTAAAGTGCAAGAAAAACTATAGGAGTGTAAAGCAATCAGAACTATTAACAGGCTCATAAAAAGGCTATGAAGATGCTTGTTAAATAAGTAAGCGGGGAGCTGGAGATGTATCTCAGTGGAGAGCACTCGCCTGGCATGCATATAAGGGCCTGGGTTCAATTCCCAGCACCAATAAATAAATAGATTCAATTCTGCTTAGTGCCAAAGGTTTGGGCTCCTGCCATTGCCACCCATAGAGTCTGGGAGGAAGCCCTGACGATGATGTTGCAGCATACCTTCCCACACCCCCAACTTGGTAGATGCTTTCCATACCTCATGTCACCCTGACCCCAGGAGACAAGGAAAGATTTTTATACCTAGTTCCCACAATGAGGGAACAGACTCTGAAAGTACCATACTGCTAGGGAGTGATGGGAATGGGACAAAGCCTAGGCCTGTTTGCCTCCAAAATGGCCTGAGTAAGGCACACTGTCTTCCTCTGTCTGGAGCTCAGGCTTCAGCTGTCCTGGCCAGTGCTTTGTGCTTCATCAAGCTGTGTGAGGCACACTGTGGTTTAACCGTGTCCTCCAAAGTCCACTCAATTCCCAATGTAGCAGTGTTTAGTGGTGAGAATTTTAAAAGACAATTAGGTCATAAGGACCTTCATAAATGAATTAATGTCATTATTGCCATAGTGGGTTGTTATAAAGGTGACTTTGGACCCCTTTGTGCTCGCAAGTGCTCTCTTGCCATATGATACCTTCTGTTGTGTTATGACACAGCAGGAAAGCCCTCACCAGATGCAGCTCTTCGATCTTCAACTTTTCAGGCTCCAGAACCATGAATCAAATAAACTATTGTTTATAAATTATCCAGGCTGTGGTATTCAGTTATCAGAACAAAATGGACTAAAACAAGGCACAAGCCCTTGCTTCCCAGATCTCTGTGTCCCTGCCTGTGGAGTGTCCTTGCTGGTGGTCATAAGGAGCCTGTGAAGGACTGTGAACACTTTCACAGGGGAGGCCACCCTTGTCCATGTCTCCAGAGCTGTCTCAGAATCTGGCTCAGCTTCTGCATTGAGTTTCTCCAACCAAAAGGCGAAGAGATTGAGACCATCTGCTGCCACCCAGATTCTCCAGGAGCTTGTTGAGGACACCTGGCTCTGGTCCTCTCCCACCTTGGCAGGAATCTCTCTGAGCAGTGACATCCAAAGGTTCGTGGGCTGGCTTTGGACCAGTAGTGGGCAGGGAGCGAGGACGACAGGAGGAATGTAGAAAGCCTAGCCTTTCTCCAACAAGGAATTTTCAGAGAGCTCAGATGCATGTGCATGTGATGGGTTCCTCAGCCTGCTGGGCCTAAGACTGGCCTTCCCTTCCTTCTTTCCGCTGGTCTACCTTCTTCTCCACTTTGCCTGGTTCTAGGGAGCCTGAACACCCTTCTCCTGAGTGGATGCACAGAGAAACACTTCCGTGGCTCTGAGCCCTGGGCAGGCCTATGTCTAAAACAAGAAGGGCATCGGGACCTTGGGATGGAGGGTTGAGAGCTGGGAAAGGCGAGGGGCAGTAAGCCCTATTTAACAGAGGGGAGAAAGTCGAAACCAGAGGCCCAGAGAGGGGAAGGGCCTGGCCAGCAGCTACAAAAAATAAACAAAATAATGAGGAATAAATTTAATTAAGCAAACAAAAGGCCTATACACTGAAAGCTATTAAAATTAGTAACAGAGTGAGGCTGGACCTTGTGCCCTTCCCACAGCCTTCCAATAAAGGAGTTACTTGAAAGTATTGAGACCAGTGGGGCTTTAGGGGAAATTTCATTCCTTGCTCTCTCTCCCAGCCCTGGGACCTGACATGACCCTGTCCTCCCCACCAGTATGGCCTAGAGGCAGTTATGCATCCAGATGGCTTGGGGATGTGCTGGAATCCATGTTCCACTAGGGATGGATGTGCCATTCACAGTCCCCTGGAGATGGGGGTCAGAGATGTGAGGGGAAGGTCAGAGATGGTAGACAAAAATGACAGGTCCAAGGGGTTCCCTCCCTTATCATTTTTCCTGGGGCTTCTGTTTGTCCCAGGATCTCTCCTCATCCAGCAGGATCACACTGTGCATAGACCTTATATCCTGGCTCAGGACAGGGGCCTTACACCATGGACTTCTCCACTTGGGTCCTCAGTTTCCCCTGGACATCTCACCTGACTTGCCTGTCTGCCGACCTGAATTCCCACAATGATGGCGACCATGGCATTAGGCTCCTGGTTGGGAGCCTGCCCCCATGGTTCTTGAGGAAGAAGATAAATAGTCTCTTTATAGGGGCAGCCTTAGGGTTGCTCTGTCCCCAAATCCCTTGCTAGTGGCTGTGTCCACCTCCACCCACTGTATACACTCTGTGGGATGCCCCTAAAGCCTGGAGGGAACACACAACTCTTTATCTCTGGCCAGATACGTCTCCTAATTCTGGTGAGTTGACCACTCAACAAACACAGGAGGCCTGGGGGTGGGGGAGATGAGCATGAAGCCCTCCCTTCTCAAGTCTGCTGTGGCCCCTGCCTCTGGTCAGTGCATTCTTGTCCCCAGTTCAAGAGTCCCTGATGGTAGTCTGGACTCAGGAATGAGCTTGGTGTGGGGCTCCATTCAGAACTCTGTCCGTCCTGGGTTCCAACCTGCTTCTCTGATCCCTTATTTACATAGTCCAAACCTTACCCAGATGTGAGGGTCTCCTCTAACTCCCCATCCCACACCGTTGGAATTATGACCTGCCCGCACCTTGCTATCCATGGGGCCCAGCCAGATAGATAGGAGTTCCCCAGCAGCACAGCAGCAGGGCTGGTGCCCAGTGACCCTGAGGTCCATGATGCAGAAAAGCAGAGGAGAGGAAGAGCATGACCTTTTATTGTGGAGTCTGGGTGGTGGGTGCCAGGGCCCCTCATACTGACAGAATCTTGAGACTCCAGCCTGGGATAACCATCTGGTGTCTTATAAGAATATTCTCCATCTATCCCATTAATCCCATGTTGAGCATTTTCACTGTCTCTCTGGGAATTTATGGGACCTCCTAGGCTTCCACCACTTGCTATCCCATGTGCTTGAAAGCATCCTCAGCCTGGTGGATGGTGAATCACCTAGTACAGCAGCTCTGGGGTTCAGACCCTGGTTCAGCAGCTGCAGAGCCCCAGGTAGAGGTAGTGGCAATGGTCCCAGACACACTGTCCCCAGGATCAAGGTCCATGCCCTCATAAATTGTGGGCAGTGAGGTGCGCTGGCTCAACCGTCGGCGCAGGCCAACTAACAGGGGCTGGGGCATGGAGGCCACATCCACGTTGTTGCCCAGGTCCACCCAGGCCAATGCAGGGAATTTGGTGGTATCCTTGATGGCTTCAGTGAGTTCCCGGGCAGCAGCCCGTGTCAGCCGGTTGCCATTAAGCAGGAGCTGGGTGAGGCAGGGCAGTGTCCACAGGCTGGGCAGCAGCAGGTGCAGAAGCTCATCACTCAGCTCCGTGAAGCTCAGGTCCAGCACTGACAACCCAGCCCCGTGGCTGCCCAGGTAGCGTGTTATGTGCTGCACATCTCGCACTGAGAGCGGGATGCCTGATAGGTCCACCGTCTCCCCTGCCAGCAGAGTCTTCTGGAGGCCACTCTTGAGGCTATGGGAGAGTTGTAGGTGAGATAGACTTAGTATGAGCCCTGGCCCAGGGCCAGGCAGAACAAAGTGTGAAAAGATTTGCTGTGAGGATTAAATACAAAGGCAATAAAGCTCCATGTGTGAACTATTATGATAAACCCTTTTCACATGCCCAGCATCACCACACCTGTTATATCTCTTATCTCATTTATTTTTACAATCCCCAAGGGGCTAAGAATGATGACCCACTTTTTTCAAAGGTTTAAGTAACTTTCCTATGGCCATGGGGATCAGGTCTCCAAATTAAGACACTCTGATTCCTGAGCTCAATTTTTTTTTTTCTGGGCTCCCTCTGAATTGGGTCCTTTGGGATAGCAAAAACTTTCTTATAAGGGGATGAGATAATCATTTCTTGGAGATTACACAGGAGACAGGCCCCAGGTAGCAAGAGGGGAGGTACTGGGGGATTGTGGTGTGAGAACTTGCCCTAGTCTTCCCAGACTCACTGTATTTTAAGCTGAAAGGGGTATTTAGAGACTAAGGAAGGCACTTCTCTGTCCCCCTACACACTCCTTGGTCTCTCTTCTGTCATTTGTACCCACCTAGCCCACTAGGCAGATGGGCCCGACAAGGGGGCTGAGAGCAGTGAGCGCTTCTAGGGCTTCTACGTACCATGGCAGGGAATGGGTTCAGCTTGGGCCACCAGGCCTGAGGTGGGACAAGGCTGAAAAACAAACACTACACATGTGCCAGGGTCAGCTCCTAGCTATGGTTCTGGGTCCCTAGGACTGAGTGCTTACAGCCAGTTCCAGGTTGAGTCTGTACCACAAGGCTGTGATGGAGTGACCAAGGCGGGGACCCCACAGCAGAGTAGAGGCCTCAGCTTTGGGCACCCCAGCATTGGTAAAGAATTCCCAAGAGTTACAGAGTAATGAGAGAGGGTATAGCCTAGGACAAGCTGCTTTGCCTCTCCCAGCCCCAGTTTCTTTCCCTGTTAAATGGGAATTGTGACACAGAATCTGCCTACCTGTTGTGAAGATCTACCTAATGCCTGATGAGATCACCTTGGGTGGAGGGGAACCTAAAGAGCCCCAGGACCTGTACCAGGCCAGGGATTAAGGGATAAGCGAATGGCAAGAGGTGGTCGTCCTGGGGGGCATGGGAGGCATTTCCATGGAGAGTGAATCTTCAATTGGGTTTTTTTTTTTTTTTTTTGCCACGGGCCAGATTGACTTTCAGAGTTGAGGCCTTAATACAGGAACCCACAGAATGGGATTGCAAGCACCAGGCTATCAGTGATAGAAGACTAGGTGTCAACCTGGGAAGGGACCCTGAAAGGACAAGAGGAGGGGCTGTGGCTGAGCTCCCCTTACCAGTTCTGTGTCTTCTTCCGGGGCACGCTGGGCCCTCTCTGCCTCTTGGAGTGAGGGGTGAGGTGGTAAATGAGCTGCCGGCATATCTTGTCCGAGGACTTCCAGAGCTCATAATCCTGTTGGGGGACAGCATCATCAGGGTGAGACTGAGCCCCTCCCACCCCCACCCTGACTTTGGCCTGGCACAGAGCCAGGGGAGGCTGCCCGCTGGGAGCTGGACAGGCTGGTCCGAGGCCCGCAGTGCCCGGCGGGAGGAAGCCCAGACAATGGGCCCTTGTTCCCTGTCCTCAGGCCCAGGGCCAGCAATTCGGGCTATCAGCCGGCAGCCTGACTACCCTCAGCACCCCCAGGGGACTTGCCACAGGGGGAGGCCAGGCCAGGCCCCTCAAGAGAGCCCTGTTCCACTGACGCCAATCCCAGGGGATGGGAACAAGCCAGGTCAGCATGTTCTTCTTCCTCTCATTATCCAAGCTACACTGCGCCCGTGGGGCCTGGGTCTGGGCTAACAGGGCTGGGGGTTTAATGTTTTACAGCACCACGTCCTGGCTCTCTCTTAGTCCTAACTGGGCCCCCGCAAAGGCCTAGCTCAGGGCAGAATACACGGTGTGCTTTCCACAAAGCTGGTACTGAGCCTGCTCCACTACCTACCCGAAACGTTCTTTTATGCAATCCCTCTGTTAACAGCCTCAGGAGCATATGGCAGACTCAGTGACAGCAAGCCCTGGTAGTTACTGTGATGACTATGGGCTAGCCAATTGCATACAGATTTGGGAGTTCAGGTTGGCAGAGCCTATAGTGGACACATTTGTTTCATATGGCAGATTCACTGTGACCAGGGCCCAGGGGCTGGTGGCTGGCTGCAGCCATACAGTTTGGGGCTGTGTCCATGATCATGGCAGACCATCTGCAAGGTGTTGTCAGATTAGGGCCCAGAGTGTGAAGGTTGCAGGTGGTTGAATCCAAGTTAGAATGAAAAGGGACTTGCTGCTATGGGAGGGACACTGAACATTTATCCCCAAGAGTGTCCAAGTAGGATGGATACCAATGAATAGGCTCCAGCCGAGGGTGGCCTCTTCTGGCCCAGGAATTAAAGGTTGGGAATCCAGTTCTCTTAATGAGTTTGTCAGAACATTTTGTGTTCTGCAGGGTCTCCATTTAACTTCTGTTCAACTAGGGTTCCCAGGCCTGAATCACAGGTGCTGTCACTTGGGAAAAAGCATGATCTTCAGGTTGGGTAAAGCACATTTGCCCCTGAAGCTGGCATCAGTTCTGAGAGAGAGAGAGTGACCTACCTAAGGCCACAGAGCAAGCCACATGAGGACCCAGGCTCCTAGCCTCTGTCAGCCACACTGCCAGTCCATGGCCCATGCATGCTGACCTCACCTTCTTGGGGCACTGTAGGTCCCGGGCCAGGTTCACAAGCAGGTCATGGGAGATGGGATCCACCAGGTTGAGGAAAGCCACATTCCTATAGAGGATGTCTGTGAGAAGGGTCCCCTCAAGGCCCAGGTCCTGAGGGTGGTGAAGAGGTAGTTGAATGAGCCAGGAACCAGGGCCTCCTTTCTCCAGGTCAGACAGCCAGATGCCCCTCATGTTAATTTCCATGTCTCCCCACCTCCAGGGAGCAAAAGCCAAGTGTCTGGTGACAGGTGGACCCTTTAGATGAGGAGAGGGGTGGCACATGGGGTGCCCCAGGGAGGTAATGAACAGATTACTCAGACCAGTTGCTGCAGGCAAAGTGTCTTGCTGTGAACACCTTGCCTTCTCTGGGGTTAGGGCCTGTCAGGGGGATTCTATTCCTCTGATGACCTGTGAATGGAAATGTCCCCCATCATTTCCTTCTGGCCCTTTGCCTTTCCTTCTGTCTCTGAGATCTCCCAAGCTGCAGCTACCTGTTGAGGTTGGCCTTTTTCCCTTCTCAGTTGTGACAGGCATCTCAGACTTGATGTGTACATTGGCCTCACATCCTGTGCCTTAGCTTAGTATGAAGGGTAACCATGCCCTCCTTTCCAGGAATCACTCATCACTCTTTCCTTGCCCTCTCTTCTCCAGCTCACCTAGTGGGTCTGCTTCTTCTTCCCCACTGCTCCCATCAGGTTCAGGTCTACCTCTCAGAAATCTCCTCCCAGGGTTCTCAATCTTCCACATCCCTCCAGCTGGCAGGGCCAATCTATGAAACATACATCTGAGCTTGATCCATAAGCCCTTTGGAGATGATCAAACCTTTTAGAAGTCACATGACATCAGACTTACAGTTTGCAGAGTCTCAAAACTCTCAGTGCCTGGCCATCACACCTTCTCTGGCCTACCAGCTTCCTCTTCTATTTTTTGATCACATCCCATGGTCAGGGCCCTCGCCTGGCCGTCCTGCCTTCATTTCTTGGTCTTTTCCTGTCTATTCCCATAGACCTGATATGGGGCTGAACACCATTCCAGAGGGTCCGTTTACAGGATGCTGATGGGGCAGGCACAGCTAGGAAGGACCTTCAGTCTCTGCATGGGCCTTCCCCAAGCCAGAGAGTAACATACCCTGTGCATTAAGTCCCTAGCCCAGGAAGAAAGGCTAGGCAGGAGCCCCCATGTGCTGTAGTACCATGGGGGGGAACAGTTCCTGCAGATCTGGGGGCAGGATAGACCCCTTGGTTGGCCTCAAATTCCAACCTCTGGGAGACAAGGGGGTGACCTAGCTGATCTCTGAGAACCAATCCTTCCCTCCTTGATGTTTTTAAGGGAAAATGCCCAGCTGATGCCTAAAGACATCCCCGACAGTGATCTCTGCCTCTGGCCAGTCTGGCTGACTAGGTGCTGCTCTGCTTTTTGTATTTTCAACATGGTTCAAACCACAGATGCCAGCTAGGGAGGATTTTGATGGAGGAAAGGGTGACTGTTAAGTCTGGGCAGACCCAGACAGGGCCCCAGACCGCAGTCTGCCTTCTGCTGGTCTGGACAGCTCTTCTTAAAGGGCCAGTTCCACTATTCCAGACTGCTGAGCCTGGAGAAAGGAAACTTTGGTGGGAGGAGGAACAGGCCTAATAGCCTGGGCTCTGGCTCTGGCTCCCCCTCTCCTTTGGGTCACCACTTATTTCCATGCATCCGTTTCCCCTTCTTTACTTATCTACCTTCTGTCAGCCAAACACCTTCATGACTGATTTCAGCTCATTTATTGGGCAGGTGGTGGTGGAAGCTGCTATAGGGGGTGGAAACAAGGTAGACTGGGAAGTAGTAAGTAGCATGCCCAGGGCTGGTGCTAGGACCAGCATCCATGTCTCCTAGGACAACAGTAGGGCTCCAAATCTTGGGCTAGAGAACCAGCGCTCCCATCCCCCACCCCCACCTACCGGGATATGTTACTGTTGTGTACAGATGTCAGATGTGTGTACTCAGTGGGCACAAACTGCCTGTTAGATGGACGGGTGATGCATGCCTTGTGGCTTTGTCTGCACTGCCATGGTGTCTCCTGGTGCACCCGCAGATCAGCTGGGCTGTACCTCCCAGGTCCTGCCTCCCAGGTCCAGTTCTTACCCTCATCCTGCCCTCTTCCCACTGTCCTTCAATAGAAGACCCCCATCCAGCCCTTCTCCTTTCCTGCCAAGGCATGAATGTGGGTTCTTAGTTCCAGGCTGGGGGCAATCTTCAACATATACACAACAGACTTCAAAACCCAGAGCTCCAGACACACTGGCCCCCGCCTCTGCACAGCCCTCCGGCCTCACCCAGCCCTCACTCTAGCCCGCGCGCTCTGGCTCAGAGAAGAACCTCAGCCTCAGCACTCCACCATACTCTCGAAACCATCCCACAGCCCACAGCTCGCAGCCCCGGCCCCTCCCCGGACCCCAGACCCGCCCTTGCCACCAGCCCCGGGTTGGCCGGCTCCTTCTCTCGCCTGGCGCAGGAGGCGCAGCAGCTGCCGGGCGCGCTCCGGACGCCGCTCGCGGAGTGTGGACTGGATCTCGCGGAGCCAGCGCACCCTGCGCTCGTAGGGCGCGGGCCCGCCGCCCGCCGCTGCCTCGGCCTCGGAGCCCGCCTCGGGCCCTGCCCGCCGGCCTAGCCGCGCCCCCATGGCCGCCGCGCGGCGGGCGCCTGGCTAGCCGGAGGCCGGGCAGTCTGCGTACCGCCCTCGCCCCGCCCTCGTCCCGCCCCGGCCGGATTGGGATGCTCTGGGTGGGGAGCTCCGATCCAAGGCTGCGTGCCCGGGCCCTGGCCTCCCGGCCTGGGGACGAGGGGTGGGACTCCTGCATTTGGCAGAGATCTAGCAGGAGGGCTCCGCCGGCGTCGGACCTGGCGCTTGGAGCTCTTCCCAAGGGCCGCCAGGGAAGACGCTGAGCCTAGCCAGGACGAGGTGGCGTTTGGCATCTCTCAACCCTCTGGCCCGAGTACTGACTAGGGGAATAAAAGCGTTGACCGCGCAAAGAACGCTCCAAGCGGGGCGGGGGTGCCTTTTGCCGGCATTAGACAATGTCAGCACCTGCTTTCAGGAATCTCTTCTGCAGCATGGCAGTTGTATCTGACCTTCCACTCTGCATCCATACAAAATTTCATGCCAGTCCCTGCATGCTGGCGATGGTGGGCACGCCTGGGCCTACTGGGAGGAGCCCTCCCCTGCCTGGGAGATGAATGGGCTGAGGTGTGCTGGTTAACTGGTAAGCTCAATTATGGGCAGGTTGGCAGCAGGCCGGCTGCATCTGCCCCTGGCTTCAGCATTCCTATTAGACAAGGGGGAGGGGGCAGGGCTCAAGTGTGAGGAGGGGGCACTGGCTCCTCCTAGGATTAGGTTTGAGCTACAGGGGGATTCCCACCTCCAAGGTCTCCCTCAGGAGTCCCTATTGGAGGCCTAGTGCCCCACCACCACCACCACCACCAGGCATCCTCCTCGGCTCTCCCACGCTCCCCACCACCAGCTCTGGGATCCTCACATTACCTGAGGGGGAGGCATTTGTGGCCCTGGGCTCCAGCCTCCATTCTCACAGGCAAGGGATATGTGTCCAGCTTGTAAGGCTCGGGTGCCTAGCTGGGCTAGTGAGTAGGAGGCATTTGAGGACATATAGTGAGGGCCCACCATCAGGATTCTTCCTTTAGGTCAAACATTGCCTGCCTAGAGATTGGGGTGGGGGGTAGGGTACCAGGCTTTGTGGACACACCCCCAGGGGTGTGTCCCTTAGACAAGGCAGAGGACAGCAGAATGTTGTAGTCTCTTGACCACTCTCTGATTCCTCCAACCCCTGTTGGGTCAATTCTTGGGCCCCCTTCTCCCTGGGCATCTGTCAGCTGGACCCAGAGGCCTCCCTCCCCCCCCTCCTCTGCAGCCAGTATTGTCCCAGGGCTACCTTGGCACAGCAGGTTTCCTCCTTGGCAAACCTGCATGACTGCCCAGTCTGCCCTCCCTCAGGGCCAAGACACTTTTGCTGAATTGACACTGTGACGGGGCCAGAGCTTTAAGCAGCAGCCCCAGGGCCCCAGCGACTTCTCAGACCCCCTGCCAGAAGCTGGCAGCCAGGTAAGCCCTCCTTCTCCTCCTTGTCACCCTCGGGGCTGGAGCCAGAACTGGATGGCTCCCAGATCCTGATCATATGGTTCCAGAGACTGAGACAGGCCTGGACATTGTCCCCTTGAGTGTGAGAAGACTGAGGTGGGGGTGAGGGGTGAGGACAGGGAGGGCTGAGTATGGGTGTCAGGATGGGGACAACATAGGCAGGGGGCATAGTGAGGATGCCCAGAGCTGAGAGTCTTGGGAAAAGCACAGAACCACCCCTAGCCCCACATCTATGTTCCTGACTGAGCGATTCCTGGAAGACATTTTTCCAAGAAAGGAGGGAGGCTGGTGTCTGGGCCCAGATCCCTGGATGGGCCTCTCTTACACTGCTGTGGGGGATACCTTGGGTAAGTTGTCTCTTGGGGACTATTTCTGGCTTAGCCTGACTTGTACAAGAGCCCCCAGAGACAGGGCTGTCCCCACAGTAATGGGGACATCATCTACCTCGCCAGCTTCCATGTGTACTTAACTGAAGGATACTGGCCCCTCTCCCTGGAGTTTTCCTGTTAAGCAGGATTTGTGGAGACCTGTGAGATGGAGGGGGGACTTCAATGTTGCCCTCTCAGCCCCTAGGGCTAATGTAGAGTTGAGGGGATTAACCTGGGCTCTTTGGAACAACCCTACCACCCCTAGGAAGCCAGTGAGATACAAGTTGGGGGCCCAGAGTCAGATAGGAAGGACATAGCCAGATCCTAGTCCCTGATGGAGCATATGAAGCACCATGTGGGACCTACCAGGAGACAGGTATTGGTGATAGTCACACCTTGGGTGTCCCCAGCCCTTGACTACCCTTATGGTGACTCAGTCGAAGTGGTAGGAGACCAAGATCTGGGTGACCCGGCAGGTGGAGTGGAGGGCTGCAGCTGGGTCTGGAACTCGACGTGCCCTACCTTTTGACCCCTTCTCCACTAACCTGATGGGATAGTCCAAACCAAGAAGGAGGAAGGCCAACTGAGGCCTGATGTTACCTCAGCAAGTAGCCAGATGACATAGAACTTCCTGGAAGCTGTGACAAGGAAGATGCAAGAGTGGTTTTGGAACCTTCACTTGGAATAAGGAGGCATCTAGATACTCTATGGAGACAAAGTGTCCACTGAGCTTGCCCTGCAGGGGTGGGTTCTCAGTCTTCTGCAGGGCAAGGAATTGCCATGGGGCTGAAGGACACAGCAGAACATGGGCGGGGGATGTTCAAGGTATAGGTTCAAGACCTGAATTCAAATCCCTTGAGCCATTGTCCTTTGTTTAGTGTGTAACCACAGACATGGTAGGGAGTTGTGTTAGTTTTCTGTGGCTGCCATAACAAATTAGCACAAACTTGGTTGCTTAAAACAACAAAAATGTATCCTTTCACTGTTCTGGAGTGTAGAAGCCTAAAATCAGGCAGAACCAAGTTTCCACTAAAGGCCCTGGTGGAAAATCTTTTCTTACCTCTCCCAGCTTCTGATGGTCTCTGCCAATTTTTGTTATTCCTTGTGTAATGCATCACCCCAAATCACTCCAATCCCAGCCTCTATCATCACATGGCTGTCTTCCCTGACTTCACATGGCCTTCTTCTAAGGACACTTGTTACTGAATTTAGCAATACTACCCTAATCCAGTATTACCTCATTTTAGGTAATGACATCTGCAAAGACTGTTTTTTTTTTTTTTGTACCAGGGATTGAACCCAGGGGAGCTTAACTAGCTTAACTACTGAGCCACATCCCCCAGGCCTTTTTATGTTATTTTGAGAGAGAATCTTACTAACTTGTCCATGCTGGCCTTCCTACCTCAGCCTCCCAAGTCTCTGGGGTAATAGTCGTGCACCACTGCGCCCGGCTGCAAAGATTATTTTTATTTATTTATTTATTTTTAAAATTTTTTGGTTGTAGATGGACACAATACCTTTGTTTTATTTCTTTCTTTTTGTGTGGTTCGGAGGATTGAACCCAATGCTTCACACATGCTAGGCAAGCACTCTACCACTGAGCCACAACCACAGCCCCAAAGATTATTTTTAAATAAGGTCATATTTTGGGGGCTGGGGATGTGGCTCAAGTGGTAGCACGCTCATCTGGCATGTGTGCGGCCCGGGTTCGAACCTCAGCACCACATACAAACAAAGATGTTGTGTCCGCCGAAAACTAAAAAATAAATATTAAAAAATTCTCTCTATTAAAAAAAAAAAGATCATATTTTTGGGCCTGGGATTGTGGCTCAGTGGTAGAACGCTCGCCTAACACGGGCAGGACCTGGGTTCGATCCTTAGCACCACATAGAAAAAAAAATAAAGGCATTGTGTTTTATCCATCTACACCTAAAAAATAAATATTTTTTAAAAAATAAGGTCATATTTTGAGCTTCTAAGTAGACATGAACTTGGGTTGAGGGTGGTTGGAGCCACTATTCAATTCACTTACAGTAGTCTTTGAACCTTCAGTTTCCCCATCTGTAAAATGGAAAAAATGAAATGTTCATTTGGCAGAGGTGTCATAGGATTAGAGAAGCAATGAAGAAAGAGCTGGCACACAGCAGAGCTGCATGTGTGAGCTTTTTTACTAATAAATCTTCTACGGTGTGTATATGTGTGTGCGTGCGCATAGGGTTTGAATCCAGGACTTTTGTACATGTTAGGCAAGCTACACCTATGGTCCCTCTTCTTCAACTTTATATGGAATCCACCCAGCTTCTCCCCAGCCCAAATCCATCCATTCAGTGTGTACTGCAGATACTCTAGAGACTAAAGGCAGACAAAGTAGGTGGCAGTAACAACTAATTTAAAGAGTGGTGAAGCTGGGATGGGGCAAAGGAAGGCTTCCAGAGGGCTAAGGTCAGAGTCTAAAGGAAGAGTGCCATTTCAGTAGCCTGCAAAAAGTCCTGGCGGGAGCACTGAGTGCAGAGGAATGGGCAGGCACCAGCAAGGCAAGAATTTATCTGCAGGGCAAAGGGGGCCTTTGAAGGGTTCTCCAATGGGGGAGGGACATGCTCAGATTTGCATGCTGAGCACTGGTGCTACATTAGGGAAATAGCATCAGGGTTGTGACCTGTGAATGAGAGTCACCAGGTGATTGCGGGGAGCCTGGGAGGGTCTAGGGGGTCAGGAGTGACTGGGAGGGGATGTATAGAGAGGAGCAACTGAAAGGGACCAGTAAGGATGCAGGAGTAGCTGCAAGGCTAGACTCTGGCTCATGTGGCCAGTAGAGGTCTGGGGAAGGCAATTGTTTAGCTCAGGTTGGGGCATGTCGACTTGGGGCGTCTGAAACATCAGCCAGAGGGGCTCAGTCTTGGATCAGCATCCAAGAGGTGAGGGAGGCAGAGGAAGCTCCGTGGAAAAGGTGGGGAGCTCTGGAAGTCCTGGTGAGCCAAACAGGGTGTTTGTGGAAAGTGTTGGGCAGTTTGGGCATCAGTGAGGTCATGGGGAGTGGTTGGTGGACAGGCAGGCTTGGCCTGTGACCCAGAAGGCCATGAGACAGGAGTAGCTTGGCTTTTCTGGAGACTGGGCCATGTGAATGGGTGGGGGTTGGGTCATGGACAAGATTCTGCCTTTCCT